TAAATATATAGTGAGAAGTTGCAGTGTAGTAAATTACATGGTATGGCTTTTCTGGCCATAGTCCTTGTAACTCTCCTTTTGCTTTGAGTAGCTGATTGTTAAAGTTATCCACCTGGTGAATTTCTGTTGGAGGGGCAGGAAGCAATCTTCTGGAAGCTCACTCTCTCTCAGGTGTACAGAATTGTGATGTTGGGATTGTTTGGTTTTTGGCCACTCTGCCAGGCTTGGAAAGGACCCCTCCTAGAGGCAGGAAGATAGAATCTCTCACTGGCGGCTGAGAGACACAATGCTGAGAGATGCCGCTGCTGAGAGAGAAAGGCACGAGAGACACACGCTGCTCAGAGAGATGTAACAGACAAGCACTGCTGAGCGCGATGTGCTACTAAGAGACCACTGGATGCTGAGCGAGACAGCAGACTGAGACAGACTGAGCATGTTCCTGAACTTGAACTGTAGCCTGCTGCTTCCCTAATAAACCTCATAATCTGTGAGCTCTGTGTGGCCACTGCAGCGAATTACTGAACCCAGCAAAGAGGTGGTGAGTGCCGTGGGAGGAACAGTTTATGACAAGGTTAGTAAGAGGGTTGGAGGGAGGCAGCATGTCTGGCCTTACAGGTATAGGCCTTGGGCTGCTGATAGTGATTCTGTTGTCCTCTTGTGGGGTGAGAGGAGGTCAGAAGATGTGGCCTCCCTGCTCCTTTTGCAGAAGTATGTTCTTTTCTTTCTTTCTTTTTTTAATTTTTATTGTGATTTGGGTGAACATTTACAGAGCAAATTCATTTTTCATACAGCAGTTCACATTTTGTTTCATGACATTGACTGCAATTCCCCACAATGTAACAGTTCTCTTCCCACTTCCTTCCCACAGTTACCTCTTCCCTGTGTCCTTCCCTCCCATGCACTCCTGCCCCCTGAGCTGTCTCCCTGTGCACACAATGCCCTTCTGTTCTGCCATGATTGATCACTCCAAGGAGTGTATGTACCTGATATAAATGTTCAGCCCATATGTCTGCGCATTGTTTGGCTGGAAGCCACAGGAGTGAGTTCGGTTCCAGACCTGAAGGGTAACCAGGGACCATAGTCTCAGGGGTCTCACCAGGTTCTATCAGACCAGCAAACCTGTTTTTTTTCTTTTTTTTTATGATTTTGAGTTTCGTTCCACATTGTTCTCCTACTCTAACCAAGATCTCCTGCACCAATCCCCCTCTGAGTGGTTGACAATGGTAGCCAGGCACCATCTAGTTCTTCTGGTCTCATGGTCATAGAGACTGAGGATCACATGCTCTACTAATCACTTGGACTAATTGCAAAAACACCATTGTACGAACGAATGAACATATTTATTGACCCATATTGTTGTATGCTAGGCACTGTGGTTTCCATTGTGGAGGATAGAAAAGGTTACTGTTCACCTTTTGAGCTTGGAACTAAACTCAACTCTGTAGCTCAACTTTTGGCCAAACAATAGATAGGCCCATGAAGTGAATAAAACCGCCAGGGAGGTCCACACTTGCAGTGTAGTGAATTACGTGGTTTGGCTTTTCTGGCCATAGTCTTTGTAACTCCCACTTTGCTGTGAGCACCTGGGCAGCTGATTGATGAAATTATCCACCTGGTGTATTTCTTCTGGAGCAACACAAAGCAATCTTCTAGGAAGTTTGCCCTCAGATGTATAGAACTCTGATGTTGGGATTGGTCGGTTTTGGCCACTCTGCCAGGCTCAAAAGGAGCCCTTCTAGAGGCAGAAGGAATCAGTCTCTCTGACTGCCAGCTGAAAGAGATGTGCTGCTCAGAGAGAGATGTGAGACACATATGCTGCTGAGAGAGAGACAGCCTGCTAAGAGAAACAGCCTGGAGAGAGGCAGCTGCCTGAGAGAGACTGAGCACATTCCTGAACTTGAACTGTAGCCTGTTGCTTCCCTAATAAACCCCACAATCTTTGAGTTCTCTGTGGCCACTGCAGTGAATTATCAAACTCAGCAGAGAAGTAGTGGGTGACATGGGAAGAGTAACTGGTGTCAGTCAAGGTTATTAAGAGGGATGGAGGGTAGTGGCATGTCTGGCCTCATAAGAACAGGCCTTGGTTCCCTGAAATGATGAAAGATGAGAATATATCCATTCAGGAAGTTCAATGAACCCCAAACAGGATAGACCCTAAAAGAAAATCACCAAGACACATCATCATCAAACTCATCAAAACCAAAGACAAAGAAAGAATCCTGAAAGCAGCATGGGAAAAACAAAAAGTTACCTACAAAGGACAGCCAGTAAGAATAAGCTCTGATTTCTCAGCAGAAACCACGCAAGTGAGAAGGCAATGGGATAGTATATATAAAACCCTGAAAAATTTCCAACCAAGAATTATGTACCCAACAAAACTGTCCCTCAAATATGATAGTGAAATTAGGACATTTCCAGTTAAGCAAAAATTAAGGGAATTTGTTCAAACCAGATCAACCTTACAAGAGATGCTAACGGGAGCCCTTGGGACAGAGAAGCAACAATAGCCAACAACAACTGACCATTAACACACATGATGATATAACCGAGAAACCAACCCAGCTACAGAAGTATCCAAAGTACGTAAGCCTACAAGATTATAAACAGGGGACCAGCGACATCAATTGACAAATGAGGACAACTACAAACCAAAAAGAGGGAAAAAACTGTCATTACAGAACTTGTAGATGGTGGGGAAGTCAAAACAACCACAAGATAGAATGGACTGTTCTAAACTTGGGAAGAAAACGATAAATCACAGGGTAACCTCGAAGAAAAATGATAAACCTTCACATCAAAAAAGAGGACCAGCATAAATATTCAGCAAAACCTAAAACAACAACAATGAAGAAAGTGATAGAGGAGGTTAAGAAGATGCTGCCTTCATGCCCGTTTAGTAACACTCCTTAGAATAACCAACCGTGTAAGGACCAAAGGGCAGTATTTGCTCAGGGATAAAACTCAGAATGTGGGAAAAGATAAAAAAGAAGGACAAATGGAAATGGTAAACACAAGGAAGAAATCACAAAGTGCTGTTGCCTTGTGGGGATTGCAATCAACATCACAAAACAAAATGTGTATGAGGTTTTTAGTGGAAAACCAATTTACTTTATAAACTTTCACCAAAGTCACAAGAAAATGTTAAAAACAGAAATGTTACTGTTTAGTTTTGATCAAAGACTCTACAGAAGAATTCTGATCAAAAGAAGGAAATATGTGAGATACAATTTAAAATTCTAATGGAATCTAGACTTTCTGGAGTCATTTAGGCTGGATGACTCCTGAAACTATGCCCTAACATAATCTTTAAACTTTACTCTTAAACCAAAACCATCCCAACTTTATGTTTAAACCAAATAATAACCCAAAACCCAAACCCACTGCTTTGTTTGAGTCAATTCCAAGTTTCTTTATGGAAGCAGATTGCCACATCTTTCTCCTGCAGAACCCCTGGTGGGTCCGAACCACCGACCCTTCAGTTAGCAGACAAGCATTTAACCACTGCACCACCAGGGCTCCTTCAATCAAACAAGAATTTGTTTAGCTTAATCAGTAAAGAATTTCTGCACTGAGCACTGTGCTCTTTTAAACAGTTATCTATACGGGATCAAATTATCAACCACAACTTGAAAAGTCAGATGCGGAACTAAGGGGGCACTGAGTTTATGCTGATGGCCACAGAAAAACTGGGCAAAAGACAGGAAGAATGGCTGCACAGCTGGGAGAACGAAATCAGTGTCACTTAAGTGTACATGGAGAAATTGCTGACATGGTGTTATAGTTTCACCAACGAAAAAAAATTTACTGCTCATTAGAGTCTAGGTTATGAAGAGAAGGCAACAAATAACATCGTAAGAGGCTTTCAAAGAAAATACTGAAGGGGCCCACAACTTTGTCTGTAAAAGTTGTAGCCTAGCGTCAGTGACCACTAAGCTCCCCCTAACAGGTCCACACGTCTCTGATCCTCTGACCAGAGGTGCCTTAGTGGAGCCAAGCATGATCCGAGGTTCCGAGCTAGGTATTTAGGCCTCATGAGCAGCAATGAGGAAAACGGGGCAACTATAACTCACTGACTGTTCCGGTAAGTTACCTCTCTGCTTTCTGGTTCTGGGCAGCCACACTTAATGCTCTCTGCTTGAGTTATTTTAGAAGAGCTCTTTGGAGCCTGGCTCAAGTCAGTTTGAGGTACCCATTCTGTGTCATTTATTAGCCTCTGTCACTCCTGGATAATTCATTCCCGCTTCAAGTCACTAAGCTTCAGTGATAAACAAGAGAAAAAATAAACCCAGAACAAGAGAAAAAGAGTAAGTATAAACTTTAGGTTTAGGTAACATCTAAGAACCAGCTATGTGTCAAGCATTATGCTAGAAAGAAAATTCAATAATGTTTCTACTAAGTAGTTTAGAATATCCACTATAAGCAGTCCCCAGATTACGAATGAGTTCCATTCGTAAACACGTCTTCAAGTCAGATATGAACTAAGCCAGAACAGTAAGGTACGGTGCGTATCTAACGTTAGTCAGATGTTTGTCTTAGTTTATAGTATATAGTGTACCTTTCTATGTATAAAAGGCATTAAAAAACAGTAAAACATTTTTAACATGATGATATAGTATCAATGTTTTGATTTGTGTCACAAAGTAGATCATTTGTTATAAACCAAGTTTATATGACCTTGACTTTTTAATATAATATTCTTTACAGGGGTTGGTTTGTAAAGTAAGTACAAGTTGTACAGAAGTCAGATGTTCATAATCTGGGGACTGCCTGTACTACATACTTCAACAGCTCAGGGCTGGTTCAGCTGCCTACTACTCCAAACGTTGCCTAAGCCACTGGTCAACAAGAGCATTTAAGAAATAAAATGTTGTGGTGAAAACGATTACTCCTAAATGTACCCATTCTCTACCATTTTGAGAATGTGCTCTCACGAAAGGAGGAGAATATCTCATTTAGTAGAAAAGAAAAAATCAATTGAAAGTCCAAGGAGAACCACTCACCTCGGCTATAGAGTGGGCTGCTGCTCAGTGGGGGCGGGACAGCGGGGTTGGGTTTCTGTGCCTTTGACTGCACGATGATTTGATAGCCCTGCATGAGCCGCTGGCAAATGAACTCCTCAAACACCTGCTGGGCTGTCATCTGCACACCCTCCTCGTCCCTCCTGAAAACAGACAATTCCTCACATGGATGCACTTGGCCACGAGAGAGTTATACTTAAGACTCCACAGTCCCCTTCCTCTTCTTCATGCCCACAAGCCATCCCTGAGAACCATTCTATGGCAGTTGAGAAATATAACAACTTGTAAACCATTTTTGGAAGAAATGATCAATTCAAAGAAAAAAAAAGGCAGGTAACTCAATGCCTAGCTGGGTAATCTTGGAAAAGAAAATCAGATTTAATGCACCCAAAACAACTACAACAGAAAATATAAGAAATAATCAATGAAGACTCATTAAGGAGGCATATCAATACAATTATAGAGAAAAGTAAGGAGTTCTGGTAGTGTAGTACCTAAGGCACTTGACTGCTAACCAGAAGGCTAGTGGTTCAAACCCACCAGCCACTCCTCGGAGGGAGTACTTCCATAGTGATACTGCCTCGGAAACCCAAGGAGGGGTCGCTAAGAGTCGGGTCCAACTCGATGGCACATAACAACAACAGCATAGAGAAAACTTAGCAGTTCTTACATCATAAAACATCCTAAACACAGAAAGGACGACACAGGTTTGAAAGCTGGATACGTTTCCTGGGACACATGTGAGCTCCCACAGAGAAGAGTGAGGCGGACCTCTCCTTCAATACTCACCTGTCAATGTCTGTTTCTGGGAGGAGATCGTAGCAACCTTCCGTGTAGTCGTTCTGCAGACCCTGGCGGTCAGGGAAGTAGTCGGTGGTGAGGGGGAGGCATGCTGGAGTAGTGAGAGACTTCCAGTCCACTCCGACTGTGCAACAGAAGCCTGGCACTACAGGGGGAGCAGACAGTGTCAGAACTGCCTCGTGTCACAGGGGAAAGCACGTGTGGTCGCCACAGTGGGTGCAGGATGTCGGGAGGAGAGGAAATGGGACAGGGGAAAGGCGAAAGGCGACAATATTGCCAGCAGGAGAGGGAAAGGAGGAAAGGGGTGGAGGAGGGAGAAAGAGAAAAAGAGTTTGTTAGACAATGCAGTATACATGCTTATCCAATCCCATCATGCAAAGAGGATTCACAGCTGAAATGTTTAATGTTCTGCTGATCTTAAGCTACAGCAGCAATGCCAGCAAGGTTACTGCAGGGCAAGAGTTACACGTGAAGCTTATCAACATTCCAGGAGCAGACAAGGGGCTCAAGCAGCAGCCCAGTCCCAGGACCGCAGAGGGGCCGGGTGGGGAAAAGAGGAGCGTTCAGTCTGATTTCAGAATAAACGGCACACAGTAACAGAATACGGAGTATTTTCAGAACTGTGAAATGAGTAACAGATCCAAGAGAGTAGGAGGAGAAATCAAGGGAGGATTCTGGGAAAGTTATGAGGCTAGAACTTGAAGGTGCAGAGTTAGCAATTCAGGAAGGAAAGCTGCAGTCAGCAGCATGGGCTTCACCCACAGATGGACCTGTCCAAAAACACCCGCTCTTCAGTCCTAGCCGGGTTTCTCAATGTCAGCACGAGTGGTATTTTGAACTGGAGAATTCTTTGTTGCGGGGGCTATCTTTTGCATTGTAGGATGGTGAGCAGCATCATGGGACTCTACCCACTAGATGCCAGTAACACCTTTCAAGTGTGACAACCAAAGGTGTCTCTCTAAACCAAAAATAAAACTTGCTGCCAATTCTGACTCACAGCGACCCCCACTGGGTCTCCAAGGCTGTAAATATTTACAGAAGTAGACTGCCCCATCTTCCTTCCCTGGAACAGCTCGTGGGTTTGAACCACTGACCTTCTGGTTAGAAGCCAAATGCCTTATCCACTCTGCCACCAGAGCTCCTTAAGGTGTCTCTAGACATTTTCAAATGTCCACTGGAAGGGCAAAGCCACCCCTGGTTGAGAACCAGAGTTCATGCAATAGGGAGGTTACCTCTTTAAGTAATTAAAGACTGTTTTTCGAATCTGCACAAGAAGGAACACTATGAAGCAGAAATACTCCCTGCCTTTGCCTCTGATCCTCGGCAGGATACCCCTACCCCTTTCACTGGTACAGTGCTATACAATGTGATGTAGCTTCTGTTGTCACATCGGACCTCACACTGCCTCCAAGAAGCAAATGTGGTGGCACCATCAACCCCTTCATACACATGGCTAAGTTGAACCTTCGAGAGGTTACACATGGTAGCAGAGTCAGGACCAGAAGCCTCTCTGCTCAGGAATCTTTCCACCATATAGTGTGTGACAGACACACACTACCCAGTATGACAGAGTCCCACCGAACCAGGAGTTAAAGGCCCAGCGGAGAGCCACATCACAGTGGGAAACAGGCCCTATGCACCACCAGCACCTTGGGGGTCTGACAGGATTTGCAGGAGGTCTTATCCCCTGGGTCTAGACTGCTCTTGTCAACTTATTAATACTTTGAGGAGCTCAAAACATAGCCCAGAATTACATAATTAATCACTCCAACTTCTCTATTTGGCAGATGAGAGGGTGCCCCTGTTCCTACTTCCTGGTTAGAACCAGGAGCAGAAGGAAGGGACCTTATCAAATTCCAAATGGGAATGCCAGAAACAAGACAGCGACATCACTGACTGTAGACCGTTCTGGCCCTTATCAGCTTCCAGAATTTACAAAAACCTTTTAGAAATGTTTTCTGCTAGACACACACCAAGACACAGAGATCAAATGCCTGGTCCAAGACCTCATGGTGAGAACAGCTCTCAGTTCTTAATGATGCTCTGTCTCCAGAGGGCAGCATCTAGAAAAGAGCCCCCACTTCTTCTGGCCCAGCAAGGAAAGCCTCCCTGAGGAGGCCACCTCAGAACCATGAAGTTAGTGATGATAAGCACAGGGAGCATCCAGGGCTGGCCCCGCAGAGAAACAGGTCCTCTGTTCGTGCTGGCAGCCTTCTGGAAAATAGCCAATCTGACAGCCACACTCTGGGAAGTAATATTGTTAAGGACAAGAACCAAAAGAAAAAATACACCTACTGCGTTAGGCTTTCATCTGCCTTACAGGCTCTAGCTAAAAACCTAGAAATTATCCAAATGGCCACCAAGAGAAAAATGATTATTCAAGCTAACATATAGCAATGTGATAAAACTGGCATTAAAAGTGACTAATATCGAGGGCCTGAAGAAATAATGGAAGGATTATAGAGTGAACCATAAATGGGGACAAAAAAGATTTGGTGATGTATACACACTGGTCATAGCTAAGTAAAAGAAGTCTATTATGTGGTAGGATTTTTTCCTATTATTTTGTTATCGTAGGTACCTGTTCTCTTACTGCTCAGCTATTTAAACATACAAGAATGAGCAAAACCAATGCCTTCCAAACAAGTATTTTCAACTGCAGGTCGGTAAACAGCTCTAGTTCTGCCTGTCACTTTGTCCTGACTTTTGCCCAGAGCCATCACTAGGCATTGAAGGACGAAGGGTTGGCTCTGGGCTGGCGTGAGGGGCTTGTGAGGATTCTCTTACTCTTCCACATCCCTCTGAATGACATTCAGGAGTATGGGACCACTCCAATCTTGCTTTCCACCGGAAGGCCTAAGAACCAGTCCTCCCTCAGCACAATGCCTTCCCACAGCCCAGAGACACCTAGACTTTTTCAGACCATCCTCTTCCTACAGGGCTTCCTTTTGCTTCCAGATGTGCTGACCACCTCCCTCCCCACCTTCCCAGTTAGCCGCCCCCTCTTACTTGGGTTTAGGGGGGTAGAGACACTGTCTTCTAGAGAATCCTTATTCTGGGTCCGAGGATTCATACCTATGGAAAGATGAAAGCTTTCATTAATGAAGGGTCATTTTCCAAAAAAAACTTCTGAATAGTTATGGTTGCAAAAGCCCAAAACTGCAGCTAAAAATAAAAACATAAACCAATTGCACACTCTATGCTGAGTATTTCAAATGGTACAAAGGAATCAATCAAAGAAAAATGAGCAGTCTAAAATTTGAGAATGAACTAGAACATTACTTTGAGCTTTTCAATACCATTCACCTAATGAGACATTTAGCATCTGCACACGCACGCACGCACGCACACACACACGCAAGTAACTTACCACTTATTTTAAGAAAATGGACACATTTCAAAGTCACTTCAACTAAGTAGGGCAATCTTTAGCAAATATGAAATGACCTATTTAAATTTAGTCCACTCAACAGTCATCTGCTGGCATTTTCTCCCTCAAATCATGACTTTCTGGAATACAGAAATAGAACTCACCACTTTAAAAGAAAAACAACGATTTAGCTTAAATCTGGGATAAAAGGAACACTGTAAAGATTCTCTGATATGCAACTTATTGACTGTAAAGTAACAGAATTTTTAAATGTCTCTTTTAAAACATATATATTTACTAGAAAATTATGACATCATAACAAGGATTGTAAGGATTTTTACCAAACTACTGACCGTGATTATCCCTGGAAAGGAAGTTGGAGGAAGGGATAGAGGTCAAACAGAACTTGAACTTTTTACTTTCGTCTCATTTGAATCTTTTATGACAAGAATGTGTATTTGTAAATTTCTTGTGAAGTCTTTTATAAGGTGATGTCTTAAGCAAAGAGGTCTTAGATATGACTACAAAAGCATGACCCACAAAAGACATAACTGATATACCAGAAGTCATCAAAATTTAAAACTTTTGCTCTATGAAAGGCACTGAAGAGAAAATGAAAAGATCAGCCCGGGAGAAAACATATATAAATCACGTATCTGACAACTTGTATCCAGAATATGTAAAGACGACTCAGGAACAAGGGGAGGAAGAAAAAAAAACACAGTTTTAAGAAAAGGGGCAAGAGACTTGAACAGGTATTTCATCAAACATATAAAGAAGGCGAGTTAAGCACATGGAAAGTTAGTCAACATCATTAGTCATCAGAGAAATGGCAAAAGGAAACCATGGTGAGGTATCACTACACGCCTATCTGAACGGCTGCAATGGCCACACCAAGTGCCCCCGAGGGGATGTGGAGCAACTGAAAACCTCATACACCACTGGTGGGACTGGAAAATGGTACACCCACTTTGGGAAACAGTCACCAGTTTCTAAAAAGTTAAACATACATTTACTATTTGACCTAGTGATCCACATTCCTAAGGAATTTGCCCAAGAGAAACGAAAATTTATGTTCACACCAAAACCTGTTGTAAATGTTTATAGTGGCTTTATTCAAAATCACCCAAAACTGGAAACCACCCAAATGCCTTTCAACTGGCCAATGGCTAAATGAACTGTGGCACATCCATACCAGCTTGGTGATGTTAGGTGCCATGGAGTTGGTTCCAACATGCAGCGACTGTATGTACAACAGACTGAAACGCTGCCTGGTCCTGCACCATCCTCACAATTATTGCTGTGTTTGAGCCCATTGTTGCAGCCACTGTGTGAATCCATCTTGTTGGGGGTCTTCCTCTTTTTCGCTGACCCTCTACTTTACGCTGACCCTCCACTTTACCAAGCATGATGTCCTTCTCCAGGGACTGAGCCCTCCTGACAACATGTCCAAAGTACCTAAGATGAAGTCTCAGCAGCCTCACTTTTTTTTTTTTTTTTTAATTGTGATTTGGGTGAAGATTTACAGAGCAAACTCACTTTCCATACAGCAGTTCACATATACTTTGTCTCATGTCATTGACCACAGTTTCCCACAATGCAACAGCTCCCCTCCCACTTCCTCCCCGTAGTTACCTCTTCCCAGTGTCCATCCCTCCATGCACTCCTGCTCCCTGAGCTGAGCACCCTCACTTCTAAAGAGCATTCTAGTTCTCTTTCTTCCAGGACAGATTTGTTCATTCTCCTCGCAGCCCATGGTATATTCAGTATTCTTTACCAACACACCAATTGCTCTTCAGTCTTCATTGTCCGGCTTTCACATGCATATGAGGCAACTGAAAATGGCTTGAGTCAGGTGCACCTTAGTCCTTAAAGTGACATCTTTGTTTCTCAACACTTTAAAGAGATCTTTTGTGGTAGATTTGCCCAGTGCAGTGTTGTTTGATTTCCTGACTGCTGCTTCCATGCTGTCAATCATGGGTCCAAGTAAAATGAAATCCCTGGCAACTGCAACCTTTTCTGTTTATCATGCTGCTGCTTATTGGTCCAGATAATGGCCTACTGCTCAGCAATGCAAAGAAATGAACTACTGATAGTCACAATAACCTGGATGACTGCCTCAGAATCTACCTCTTCACTACACCAAGTGAAAGAAGCCAGATTCCAAAGACTGTAAGTTGCATGATTCCATACACGTGACATTCTGGGAAAGGCAAAATTAGAGGCACAGAGAATCATGTGAAGGAATTTTAGGGGGTAGTGGGAATGTTCTGTATCTTGATGGTTATATACCTCTATGCATTTGTCAAAACTCATAGAACTGTACACCAGAGTGAATTTTACTGTGTATCAACTTAAAAATATATACTGTTTGCATGGGAAGGGAAGCGGTAACTATGGGGAAGAAGTGGGAAGAGAGCTGTTGCATTGTGGGAAGTTGCAGTCAATGTCATGAGACAAAGTATATATGGACTGCTGTATGGAAAATGAATTTGCTCTGTAAATTTACACCCAAATCACAGTGAAAATTAAATACATACACATATACACTTTTTTAAATTTAAAAATAATTTTTTTTATTGATGTCACTTCTTGTTGTTAAGTGTCATTGAGCTGGCTGACTCACGGCGACCCTGTGTACAACAGAACAAAACACTGCCCAGTCCTGTGCCAGCCCCACAATCCCTGCTATCCCTGAGCCCATCATGGCAGCCGCTGTGTCAGTCCACATCACTGAGGGCCTTCCTCTTTTTCACTGACCCTCCACTTTACCAAGCATGATATCCTTTTCCAGGAATGGTCTCCTCTGACAACATGACCAAAGCTTCGAAACATGGCCAAACCTTGGAAGTGAGATGGCCAAACTTCATCTCACTTACTTTGGTCCTTTCAAGGGTCATGATATCACTTGGTCAAATCAATTGTAGAACTTTTATGGAACTGCCTTCTGCAGACTTTAAAAATTACTAGTCATCATAATGTTGTTGTTGTTGTTGTTGTTGTTATGTGCTGTCGAGTCAGACCTGACTCATAGCGACCCCTCCTTGGGTTTCCGAGGCAGTATCA